TAATGCCTAGGTTTACTAATTGTAATTACGCATAAAGCTTTAGTTAAAAGGATTGCAAAACTGGTGAATAAAACTCTACAAATGGTTTCCTTAGTTATCTGGTAAAATGTCTCCGTTATAATCAAGTTACGTTTCTAACGTGAAATTTATGACGTTTATATTTGTGTTTTAAGGGGAGGGCATTTGACCAGCCCAATCACAATTTAACACATTTTGACAGGCCGGGCTGCAGTTAGAGTCCTCTATTGCAGAACTTCGACATGTATTCTTGCATCTTTCTTTGTCTCTTACTTGCCTTGCCATTTTGCAATGGGTTATCAACAATGGCAATTGATCTCGGTACAGATTTGACCAAAGTAGCTGTCGTTAGGGTAGGTTGTTATTTTTGATTAACTTCAAATTCTTAGCCTGGGATTCCAATGGAGATTGTTTTGGACAGGTATACACCTTTAATAAACTTATTTTTAGTGCGTCAAAGCGGACGATTCAGACTTTGGTATTACTGAAGGAGGGGAATCGCCTTTTTGGTAACGGTGCAGTGGCTAGCGTGAGTGCTTCTATATTAACTAGCATTTGCACTTTTAAAAGCTATGATCACTTCATTGTCTGCGGATAATGGAAATTTTCTTTACAGCTGCTATGGCTTGGATTGGCGCTCTGATCCCTCGGTTGATTCTGTGCAATCTTTATTGTACTTATAATATTTTATGATCATTTATCTCATTGATCGTGCACTTTTTCCCCTTTATCAACGGCACTCTACTGTTTGGCATTGGGTGGTAATTACTTTAAAGCGAGATATCATTCTATGATGGTAATCCTCTTATGCTTAATTGATCGTCTAAATTCTGCACTCTACGGCATACTTAAATGTTATTTCTTAATTCCTTGATGGTGCTCATGGTGTGCAATTTCTTTACAGAGCTTTATTCTCTCCGAGTAGGCAACTAGGGACCCAACAATTGTTTTTGCTGAGTTGCCATCTATTATTGGCAAAACTCTTGACCATCCTACCGTGATTGAATATCAAAGGCGGTATCCTTATCATAACCTGACATTTAGTTCTGACTTCCATCAACTTGCCTTTATTGTCAAGTAAGCCGATTTCGTTTTGAATTCATCCCTTCTTAGTGGTAAGGAATTCACTGTCGAGACTCTTCTAGCCATGTTTTTGGAGTATATCAAGAAAACCGCTGAAGCTTTTGCAGGTGAGGTTATACTCCTATAACCCTTGTCGAGAATTTTCTTTATAATCACATGCTTGTTTTCACTATTAGACTCTCAAATGAAAACCGCTGTGATCACCGTACCTAGCTACTTTACTCAAGCCGAAAGACGTGCAGTCCTGAGATCTGCGGGCTTGGCCAATATTGAAGTGATTCAGCTCATTGATGACAATGTTGCTGTCGCACTCGACTACATTCGTCCTAGAGTTAAACTGGCCGAAGAAAAACCTGTCTACCTCTTCTTCGATGTTGGAGCAACAGCGACTACCGCTACTCTTGTTTGTAAGTGATTTCTCCTTTGTTGAAAACTCAGTCATCTATGTTCTTGCCCATTGTTTGTCGTGTTTTATTTTCATGTTCCACTCTGGTACAAATGTAGCATCTTCATTTTAGCTTATCAAATGGCTCAGGTGAAGGGTGAATCGTCCGGTGAACATCCTCATATCTTCGTTCTTGGTGCAGCGTGCGTTTTTTCTTTTACCTTGAGTTCATTGAAAACTCTCATTGTCATTTAGACGCCAGTTTGGCGCAAAAATGAATGGACTATTAATGCTGTTTTTTAATTGTTCTTATATCATTAAGATGAATTTACCCCCTTTTCTGTAACGCTTAACCATAGGAGTGACACTGCCCTCGGAACTAATGCATTCATTGACCGGCTCCAGGCTCACTTAATAAAACGATTTAAGGCGGTCCACAACCTGGATGTCGACATCAGTAAAAACGCTCGCGCCGTTGCAAAATTCAGACGGGAGGCCAGTCGTGTTTTTAAAATCCTCAGTGCCAACAAGGAAATACAGGCCTCGGTAAATTTTGCCCCTTTCCGCTTCAAAAAGGCAAATGCATATGCTTTTGAGGTTTTTATTGGTAGGGTCTGTTAATGTGATTTTGTCGGAGTCCCGGTAGATTTGGTTGCAAATGTTGTGATTGCATTGGTTTTACTAACTTACAGTGTAGCCTCCTTTAGCCTATTTGAACAGCAAATATTATTTCGCGTACCATCAGTCAATTGAAGGAAAGTTAACCACCAAAGCCAACTTTTTCGGCTGTCGTCTTCATCTTGTTTTTCTTCGCCATTAAAATTCGCCTTCTACATCGATCACATTGAGGTATGAGCACATTAGCTTCTGTTGCGAGTACTTTGTATCGAATCCAGTGTAAATGTAGGGAGTATCGTTTGTTTAAATCACTACGAACATGATATACTTTAGAGGCTCCGACTTGCACTGCTGAGTTATTAAATGTCACTCAAAATAGCCTTTCTTTGCTACTTTTTGATTGGAAGTGTTTTACAATTTATTTGCAATCTTTGTGCTCTCGTGATTTTCCCCTCCCCCTTCATTGACCCCTAGTCGTGGCTATCAACGCCACTGCGATAAGCCATAACAGATGAAAGAGGGTTGTCCTTTTCTTTCTTTATCGATGGAAGGGTTTGTAAATTCATACTTTCTAGCGCACAGGTAAGTGAAACGCTCATTGTACTACTACTTGTCAGTAGTATTTTTGGAGAAAAAATTTCTTGGCTCCACTTTTGTTTTTCGTTGACTAAGGCTTTCGAGATTTACCAAGTCCATGTAAATGTGTCAGTACATTATATGTTTACCGATGCATTAAAGGAAATCTATCTGTAATTATGGCGAAAGAATCTTGCAATCACTGTTTTTGGTGGTGATGGGCAAATGCAATATTGGTCTGTGTTCTTTGCTGACTCAAGGAATAGTCATTTGCTAACTCAAGGATAAAAACACGGAAAGGCAGCTCTGTATTCAGCTGTTTCTTTATTTGTGGGAGGAGTACTGTCGTTACAGTCCAGAGCTTTCATTATTATTTCCGCATCTTCATTCATTGGC